AAAATATTTACAAAAATAAAATTATAACAAATATTATAGAAAATATGAACGGGTCAGGCGCTTTACGCATTTGGAACTTTCTCATAGCCACACCTGAACAAAAACTTAATGATGAAGTCATAAGTGAAAATGTTCTAATTCCACTAAATGACGTAAGAAAAAAATTGTATAATTTGCTTTACCATGGCTACATCAAGTGTCATGAGTGTAACAATAGTAACGTTAACAAAACCTACATTAAGCACTCCCTGTCCTTCTCCACCAACATGTATTACACAACGAATAAGATAAAGGAAAATTTATTTACCATCGCGAAAAATATTTACATAAGGAAACTCCACGAAAATAATGAAATAAATACGCTCCACAATAAGTCCAACATGTGTGCGAACGAGGTGGGCGGTAAAGACCCCCCGGCAGAGCAGCGTACTGTCCAGGGCGCCACCTCCGGACAGAACGCATCCATCAATCAGACCTCCAACACATCGAGCAAAAGCCATCAGAATAAAAAAAAAATCAGCTTGACGTCGCGCGAGTATGCCGTGGACTATCTAGAGATAAGCTTAATTAACCTCGACAAGTTAATTTTTATATTTAACTCGTAGCACATCCCCGTATCGTGTGCGCACATCCCGTGTTTGGAGCGCCTCCGCTTTTGTGCTGCATGAACGGCGGAGAACGTGGAGGCGAAGTTGGGGCGCACATAATTTGTCACTCGCTGCTATGCTGCTCAATTTTCCCCATGTGTATACCTTCTCCCCGTATGTGTTTGCTCCGCTTTGCGATTTCACCATTCTGCGCCATGTGCTTATACAAGCATGTACACACGTATGTATTCCTTTTGCGCAAAGGTAACTTTTTTTTTTTTTTTTTGTCTAAAAAATGTGCTGGTAAAATATTTAGCCAGGCTGGCGGGTTCCGCTTTGTTTTCTACACGCGCTTGCCTAAACAGACGCACCTCTACCATCTTAACAAAATTGAAAAGTAAGGACATGTCCATAAGTGTCACGGTATCAATGTTTGCGCCTCGTCTGAGTGGCATAACCTCTGTTCATACATACGGAACATGCGCAACGCAAGGCGCCAAAAAAAAAAAAAAAAAAAAAAGACACAAACGAAATGAACAAGTTATGTCTCCATATGCATTTGCTTAAACGCTACTTCTTACACCTTCTGATAAATGCAAACAATTCTGCTAAACATGCCTGGCCCTTTCTTCTTCCCGCTTGGGCCCACTTCCGCATTGGCGTCAAAAATCGTGCGTTCAACGAGATTCATCCTACTGCTATTTTGATACCCCCCCCGAGCAATCGCATCAAAATCTTTATAACTCAGATTTGTCTCATGCGTATAATAATCCCGGTCACATGTCTTAACCTTGTATTTTATTTCCTTATGATACTCCAGGACGAAATACCCTCCTTCTTTTAGCAGACTGTGGATGCGGTCGAAAAAGAGAATCACCTGAGCGTCTCCATGGTTCAGATGTATCCACTTTAGGACTGAGAAGCAAATAATTACGTCGTACGTGCCCTGCGCGGTTTGGAAAACTTGGTCAAAAATGTTCAAGCAGGAGAAATATATATTGAAGGGGAAGACGTGTTCGCGCGTGCAGGACAGTGCTTGGTCTGTCTCGGGTTTGTCCCCCACAGTTTCTCCTTTAACCGCTTGGTCTATTTTGTCCCCTGCCGCATCGCTCCTTAGCGCATCGCTTCTTATCGCTTCCCGCAGCAGGTGCAGCTCGAGGAAGATATCCCTCTGCATTTGCGTCAAGTTGCGGCGGCGCAGGAAAAAGGGGACAACGTGGTTCTGGCTATTATACACTAAAACAAATTCGATGAAAATCCTCAACAAAGTAACGCTGTTATTAATGAGGTTACAATCAATGTCAATGCCATTTACAACTCGGCACTTATATTTAAGACTAAGCAAAAAGGTGGTTACCCCACAATTGCAGCCAATGTCCAGAACGTTCTTGTTATAAAAAATACCATTCATGAGATTATTCACGTGGGTTAATCTGTAGTCATCGATTATGTGCTTCTTATCCGCCTCACCAACTTCCACCACTTTGCAAACTCGTTCATTTGCTTTGTATTGCTTATCTGCTTCTTTCTTGTCCTTGGCCTCTTCATCATCACATTTGGTCACTACCCCACCTCGGGAAATTTCTTCACATTTTTTTTTCCTCTTCCAGTACCTTTCATAAAAGTAGTTGGGGTAATTTCCATGCAGGTAAATTTCCTGTCTCACCCTCTCCCCCCTCTTCGTTTTGTATATCACCTTGTCTGGTTGGGCTACACCTGGGTGAGTAACCCTAAAGTGCCTCTTCAACATCTGCAGTTCCTTCTTTTCCGTGTTTCTAAAAATACAATTCGACATTCTGCTGCGTGTCCTCACTTATGTCCACTCCCCGTTTTGCCAATCGGCCGGTTTTCCGTCCCCCGCAGTCTCCGTCCCCGTCCACAAATAGATGCACACGAAAAGGAGCGACGCTCAGTACCATCCTTTGTGCCTCATAATGTACTAACAAATTGCTAGCTACTTATACCCAAAATGGAGATTTTTTTTTTTTTTTTTTTTTTGATACATATTTTAAATGGGAAAGTGTTCAAGGTGGGAAAAAAAAAAAAAAAAAGAAAAAAAAAAAACCCTCAAGTGGTGATTTGTTCATTGCGCCACGTGTATTGGTCGGACGGAAGGCAAGTTTCCTCATGCACACGAGAGTCCGCCATGGGGATAATTTAGCAAACTTCAAATAAGCACGCTGGAAATTGTCCTTAAAATTAGCGCCTACGAAGAAATACGAGAGGCACTTACCCAAGAAGTTCACTCCTTTGCTTAGCAATTTTTCCACTGCGTTAACTTAGCCCCCGTTTTAACTTCTTCACTGATTAAGCTCTCCCCGTGCGCCTTCCAAACGAAGGAGAATAATTCGCTATTCTCCACACTTGACGCCTAATTAATTTTACACACAGCCGAGGTAATTTCCTCAACTTCACCTTTTTTTTGTTCATTTGTTTAAATACGAATTAATTCGCGCTTTACTCGTCATGCCTGTTGCCCGCAGGAGGATGCGCGTGAATGTTAATAACAATTGCTTACCTTCTTTCGCAAATAAGATAGTCCCTCTAGCGCCTCCTAAAATATATAGGAGCCAGCCGCGGGGAATCCCCATATGCCATGGAGAAGAAGGTAAACGTGGAAAATACTACCAGTTGCAAAAACAAAAAAAACTGTTCATGTGAGCAGATGGGTAGGGAAAATATTTCTGGGAGTACACTACTGCTATGTTAAGTGGTGTACCACGGGATCCATCAATTTAGTTGCTGCCCTTGACGTGGTTATTAGCGCCCTGTTGGCAGCAGTCAAAAGTGGTACATCCTTCTATGGTCAGTACTTAGCTTTTTTATTTGTCGCAGATTAAAGCTTGAACAATTCAAAAGGGAAGAAGAAATAAATCGCGCGAAAAGTGACACATAAAAAGTACGGGAAAAATACGGACAAGCACGCCGAAAAGCGGTCCGCAAAAAAAAGGTGGAAAATTTTCCCCTCCTGATGGGCCTCACTGCGACGCGATACATGGCGTAGCACGCAGTCCCTGTTGTAGAACGAAACACAATTGCCTATTTGCTTGATCTACCAAGAGGTATCCTCCATCTGTTTTGTCCTTTTTAATAAACACTTAAGAGAAGAGCCAAACAGGTGTGCCATTTTTGTGACGAATATTATCATCATTTCCGTAGTGCACATATGTACTCACCGTACTTTTTTTTTTCTTTCACTTTTTTTAATTCCCCATTCTCAACCAATACCTCTCCCAGAACGCTGGCTCAGCGATATATTTTTTTCGTGCAAACATTTGTTTCATTTATATTTTTAAATGTAAAAAAAAAAAAAAAGCCCACTGGACTTTTTAACATTTTTTTTTTCCCGAACGGAAAGGCATGTAACACTATATTTTCCCAATCCACCGCGTCATTATCGCGTTATATGTATAAGCATATATACATACGTATTTATATGTGTGTGTGTGTTTTTTTCCCCTTCCCCCGATTGGTCCCCCACTTTGCTTCGTTGAATTTCCCACCACCACACGCTGCCGCGCTCGCCAAGAAAATGTGCGTCCAACATATCTCCCGTTTATCGAATAGCAACTCCTTTTTTCTACAACAGAAAAGGAGAAATTTTATCGCCTTACACAATTCAGCGATAAATATTTTCTTAAAAAAGTCTTTAATCTGCAACGTGCGCTTCAATCAGCACCATAGGCACGAGCAATTCAATCAATTAAGTAATTTTTTCAATTTAAATAAAAACGTGAAATATGTATACAGCTTCCGCTCCACGGATCGAAAAAACGCATTTCTACAAAAGTGTTTTTTTTACCTGACCCCCAAGTACTACTTGCAAGATCATATAAGAACCGCCATTAGGAAGAACCAAAACATTCTTTTCATTAAGAAGAAGAAAAGGAAGGAACATCGAAATTATTATAAGTATGGAATAGTAGCCAATTGCAAAGGGGGCAATTCACAACCCGTTCTGCAGCTCGGCGACAATTCAGAACAGCGGACCGCCAGGGAACAGGGGAACCAACTGATTAATCAAAATGGACAGACACCTCGACACACCCATTTTGGAAACAACATACCCAGGAGCAGGCAGACTCAATGGGGATGGGGATGGAGATGGCACACCAACATTAGCTTATTTCACACGAGGATAATCAGACGTCGAAGGGGCCCCAACATCAGGAGTGCCCATCTCATGGGTAGAATAACGAAAAGGACCAGACAGGTAGAAACGTCAAATAAGCAGGGAATTTTTCCCTCCATTGGGAAACCGCCCCCCCACCATCAACATAAGACGACGGAGGCGCATAAATATGGTCAGTCAAATAACGAAGACACGTACTCGCAGGAAAAGGGCGCAAGCTGCCAAATAAACACAAATGATGCTAACCGAAATGACGCAAAAAAAAAACATGACAAAGTGGTGTCCAAAAAGGGCGACTACTACAACTGCAAAGAGGCTGAAAAAACGTTTGAAGATAAATCCCACGAAAAAGCAGAAATGAATATAAAGAGGCATGACTTAATCTTAGTAGCCCTCTCAGGGTGCATCCCATTTATCTGCTTCGGCTTTGTTGATAACTCCTTTATGATTATTGCAGGGGACCTATTTGATTCTACCTTCTGCGTCTTTCTTGGTTTCAGCACTCTGGCAGCAGCAGGTTTGGGCAATCTAACCAGCGATGTTTTAGGTATCTTCATTGGAGGGTACATAGAAAAAATCATCGTCTACGTAGGGTTCCCAAGGATAAACTTAACCAATAAACAACTGAAAATGAACAGAACAAGACGATATTATTACATCGGAAGTGCCATAGGCATAGCCATAGGATGCCTACTCGGAATGATTCCTCTCCTCTTTATTGATAGTAACAAATTGGAAGAAAAAAAAAAAAGACAAAAAAAAAAAAAAAAAAAAAAAAAAT